GCAAGAGCCGAAAGATCCATACTTGGTGCATCCTGGACTCAGCACGGCGATCTGGTGTCAGGACAAATATTTTTTGCCCCCAATAACGTCCTCTTCCCTCTGGTGCCACCCCAGGAAGATGGACGGGACGCGGACGCCCCGCGACGAGAGGCGGCGAGCCCAGCACAGGGAAGGTGGGTGGCGGCTCAGACCCCCGCTGGGCGTTGGCCCCATGGTGCCATTTCACTCCAGGGATCCCGGGACTTCCCCTCCCACACACAGCCCCCTCCTCGCGGTTCCTGCTCCTCGCGGTTCCTGCTCCTCGCGACCCTTGCCAGACAAGCTGACTGCATCTGGCTCTACGACCGTCATTCCCAAAGCCATTCGGCCGTGGGAGAAACGTCTCGTCCTTTGAATAGGATCTTCCGGCCCCCGAGGGCCCTGCGCTGGGATGTCTCTGAGCAGTTGGCCAATACCCCAGAGCAGCTCGCCCTGGGCAGAGCGTCTGGGTTTGGGAGTCGTTTCCCATCCCGGACTTTGAAGTGCAAGCAACGAGAGGGAACGTGAAACTGACCGGTGTGCGCCGGTGGAGAAAAGGGGAGAAATCTCTCTCTGCAAATCACAGAGAGGACTGGGCTATTGGGGTTCTGAAACTCTTAGGCTCGGGAGCAGTCAGTGTGTCTGTAGCAAGGGGTTGGCTATTGGAATGGGATTAGATGGAAAATGAATTTTTTTGAGGCAACAAAACAGCAAAACCATTTTCCTCCCTATAGGAAATTCTGATTTTTTTTTTTTTTTAATTTATTTTTTTTCCTGCAAACAATTGCTGAATCTGAAAACTGCCCTGGTTTGGGTGAAAGCAGAAATGCTGAATATTTCAATGCTCTGAAAACCGACTTTCCATCCGGCAAAACATTTGCGCTATGTCTACACTGCAGGTTTTTGCCGGCAGAGAGTATGCTAATGAAGCGCTCATTAGCATTTGTCGGGCTGTCATTTTCATATTCTCTGCCAATGCTTTTTGCGCAAAGACAAGCAGTGTAGACAGGGCTGTTTTGCGCCAAAAAACCCTTTTGCACAAGATTGTTATACCTTCTTTTTTGAGGCTCTTGCGCAGAAGTGGGTTTTTGTACAAAATAGCGCCATCTACACAGCAGCTTGTTGCGCAAAAACCTCTTGCACAAAAAGCAACGGCGGAGAATATGCAAATGACAGTGCAGCAAATGTTAATGAGCACTTCATTAGCATACTCTCTGCTGGCAAACAGCTTTGATGTAGACGTAGCCTTGGAGACATTACATTTTTTTCTGCCAGTCTGGCCAAAAAGCCAAAATGTTGATGGGTGGGTGTGTGTGTGTGTGGGGGGGGGGGGGGGGGGTGGTTTTTTTTTTGTTTGTTTTTTGCACCAAAAATATTTTCTAAAGTGTAGTTTGGGGTGTCAATACAGACCATTTTCTGTTTTTAAACACTTAGAATATCAAAATATGTTGAAACTAACCGTTTAAACTTAGCTAGTTGAAAGATTTTCTTTTTTTCCCCGAATCTTCCTTCCCCTCTGGTGCTCCCAGCTCTCTCTTCCCCCCCCCC